TATATGCAGTTTAACTGGAGTTCCATTGTAAATAATTTATACACTGTGCAGTTACATACAAAGTATCACAAGTACAGTATATCAGGTCCTTTTGCAAAGTTTGAAGTTTATGTTAATAAAATAAACTATATTTTTTACGTACATGGATAACTAACTATAGCATGAGAAAATACACTTCTTAGTTTCTTAATGTGCACCAAAGTATCAAGCTCTTGATATCTATACTGTATCGTTGGTAAATTATTGGGCCATCTAATCCACCATGCATACCTTTAATCAGTTTGCTGATTGAAATGCTCCAGATTCACATTGTAAATCTTGCCTAATGAGTCCTCGTCTTCCTAGTGAAGCTACAAGGATGGGTTTTAAAGTTACTTCTTCTCAATGAGTAACCCTCTCTTTAACTGATATGACCCAGCTGCACATAAGACAATCATGAAATAAGAAAGATCACATGCATAGTGGATGGTGGTGGATACAGCAGGACATAAAGCTGACAATACAACCACCAGCAACTTTGGTATATGACTACTTTTTTGAGAGTCTGCTATCAGTACCGAGTTCAGACAGGAAAGGGAGAAAATTCAAGTAAATCATAAAAAATCAAATAAACGTTAGGAGGTAAGATGGCATTATAAGAATTCTTGAGTAAGGGGCTAGAGTATTTTAAATATCCATTGGTGAATGGTTCTCTTTATTAAGGTAAAAGTTATAATTTTATACTTTACTAATAAAGGTTATTATTTCTAGAATGAACATGGTGTAGATATATTTTCAGTACTGGTTACTATAGCAGAGGGAGATTGTAATGTGGAATATACTGTATATTTATAACTGAGATCAAAATTAAACTGTAATTAAAATGATGTACTCAGCCTGTTCAGTTAAAAATCTTTTTGTTTTGTTTTCTACCTCTTTTAACTGGAATTCCCGTCTGCGAAAATATGTAAGTGAGGCTTAAAGCAAAGATCTGAATGGCTCCACAGACTATCCTTAAATAGATATCCATAGTCCACAGTGAGATGTAATTGGTACTGCAGATTTCACATTTGCATATTCACATCTTGACATTACAAAGCAGTGACTTTTGATTTATTAAAAAGAAGCAATATAATTTTAGATTACTGTCAGTTCACAATAAGAATTTAAATCAATAGGTTCTGCTGACATAGAGGTACTTAGAGGCATTAACTATAAAATGTAATAATAGGAATCATAGTTTAGACAAGCCTTTCTCAACTAGGGTGCTGTGGCACCCTGGTGTGCTTTCTGACTCCCTCAGGGGTGCGTCGAAATTTTCACACAAAGCCATGCCTCTGATGTGAAGAGGGCTCCTGATGTGAAAGAGGGGGACTCATGTGAAGGGGGAACTCTGATGTGAAGAGGAGAATCCCAGTTTTTTGGTGTGCTTTTGCTTGGGGGTCCCCCATCCATACCAGACCTATATTTCGTATAAGGGTTTGGTATAGATTTTGGAGGGACCACATGCTGTTTTTTACATTCATGGTTTTTGCATTTTAGACTGGGGTGTGTCGAGGATTTGCATACTTTTAAAGGGTGCCATGGCTAAAACAATTTTTGAAAAACGCTGGTTTGGACTAGTTATTGAGAATGACCCTGTAAGTCATTATAACATAATAAGTAATTTGCTTGAGAGATTAGGTAGTTAGTAAACTAGTTTGTTTCCTTGTTGCATACTGAAGTGCACTAACGGCAATAGGCCCAAACTGCAGTCCAGCCTTGAGCAATGCCAGTATTAGAAAAGTGTTAGTGGTTTCTTTAGACTAATGTGCAATTTCTCTTCATATGTTCATTGAACAATACAAACTTGGACTTGTTATTAAATGATTTGGGCCTCAACTCTGCTTTAGTGTGTAGAACTAACAGCCATGTCTTCTCACAGAAGTCCTTCATGGGTATGAAAGGATAATTATTGTATTAACAGGAATAACACTGCAGGTGTTTAATATCAATATGCATCTTGAGGCTAGACTTGTGCCCGACACGAAATTTTGTTCATCTTCGTTTCTATTTGAATTTTTTTTCTTCAGTTTTCTGAAATTTGGATCCATTCGATATTCAGAATTCGGATTGATCCAAAGTTTTCGTTTTTGGAATTCAGATCTATTTGAATCTATTTGGATTCAATTAGGTTGTTTTTAAATCTGAAAATACAAACAAAACAGCATGGCCCCCACCCCAATTCATATCAGACCCTTTAGGTCCGATAGGAATTTTAGAGGGGACCCCAGGCCTCCCCCCCCCCCAAAAAAACACCCCCTAAAATCCCTTACTAAACCCCTGATCCAAGCAGCGCCTGGCAGAGCAGGAAAAAAGGGGGGGAGGGGGCGATCATACCCCTTTCAATATGTATTGGTCTAAAAATAACAGGCCATTAAAGTATTGATCGAAATATAATTGGGCATTGGACTAATACGACACTAAGATATGAGAATGGCAATCCAAATGTTTGGCAAGGCAACTTAGATATTAGATAGTCTAGGTTGCGACTGAGTAATGAAAGAAAGTAGAACCTAATTCTGTTGGAAGGCAACTAGTATGTAATCTATTGCTATGGGCCCACCTTGTGGTAACCAAGGTCCTTACAAACTCCTGGGAACCTTAGATCCTTAGTTAAGAGCCATATAAGCTGATTATATTGCTTGTTTATTTTTTACATTTACATACTGAAGAACTGCGCCTTTTCCTAAGATCATGAACCAGTACCGCAGAAAATGTCCATCTGCTATGCCTTGTATAGCAGAGTTCAAAGTGGGTTGTCAGTTGTTCCATCCTAAAATTGAACATACTGAATTGAGGACAGAACACAAATAGATAAACTCATAGGTCTGCTGCTGCTCCTTGCACTGTCTAGTCACAGGTTGGGTAAGGGACAGGACCTGTAAGTGTTAATTAACTATAGCAGAGAAAAGTTAGGTCTTCTGCTGCAGCAGATCTGTGCAAATCTTACAACTGGGTGGATAGAAATACAGAACCTTTTGCAGGTAAAAATGCTCTCATGACTGTATTTCATAAGTGTATTTAGCTGTTTGCTTCGAGTCGACAAAAAAGTATATGGTCTGGTTTCTCAGAATATGCTGGAACTTGGTGCTGCTGGCATCCCTTACAAATTAAGCAGTTAACACTTCATCAACAAATGCCTATGTAGAAAATGGTTTTGTGTACCAAAGCTAGAGGAATACACTTTATTTATGTTGATAATGAACTATACGAGAATAACAAAATGTTATATAGTTTTCTGCTATTAATATTGTATCTTCTCACAGGTCGAATCTTGGACATTCCCTGTAAAGTGTGTGGGGACCGCAGCTCAGGAAAACACTATGGAGTTTATGCTTGTGATGGCTGTTCTGGTTTCTTCAAGAGAAGCATTCGAAGGAACAGAACTTATGTGTGCAAATCTGGGAATCAGGTGAGCACTTGTCATGTTTTTTTATGAATGAGTAATGTTTAATCAAAATTATAACTGGATTATAACATATAAGGGTTTATTTCTATAAACTTCGCCCTGTGTATAGCTGGGTGAATGCCATTCCCAAAAAATGAGTGCCCTTGGATAGTGCGTCGGAACTCCCTAAGCTCCTCAGAACCATCTAGGGGCACTAGTGCCATGTGAATGACATACGTCGCGAGGGGAAGTTTTATAAATAATGCCAATTATTGTTCCCAAGGAAATATATGTTCCTTAAAGTATATTTATACTGTATATACCCACGGTGGACACAGAAGGGGAAGATAGAATACCTATCAGGTTTCTGTTAGTGTCTGTGTACCCGCTGTGAAGCTTCCCCTTCTCTAGTTCAGAAAGTGATGGGAAATACAAAATGTCATGGTTGTCACTAAAACAGGGCGTAAGGAGTTTTCTTCCAATGGGGATACTTGTTCTGATGGCAGTTGACTAAAGGAGTTTCTCTCTTTTTGGAGAGATTTCCTTACACTTTCTGTTGTGTCACTGAGAAAAGAAGTGAAGGTAAATCGCCTCAGTGAGACACAGGCAAAGAAAATAAATGACAGGGGTTTTCACCATGCCCTACTCTATCCAAAAACAAAACATGTTTTGGCTTTAGATAAACTTTAACTGAAAAGTCCATTATGATGATGTACCATAAAAAGCACATCATAATATAACATGGAGCAAATTAATCCATTAATAAGATAAGCATTAAGTCTATAGCAGTGTTATTAAATTCTAAAACTGGCCATATCCTGGCCATATCCAGTAGATCCTTGTTCAAAAAAAGCTGTTTTTGGAAAGTTCATTCAATTTTCTAATAGTTAATTGGGTCAAATGAATTATTGTTTTCAACCATAGTGATGAAAAAAAAAAATTGAAGGAGCAGAATGGAACATTTTTCTCAAATGAACACATTTTTAACAGTGAATGTGGTTTTCTTTCAAGAAACCTTATTCATTTGCAAAGTTGAATGTTAAAATCAATAAAAATTTCGAACGCCATTCTACAAGTCTGTGATAGCATTATTAAATACTCAAGTACTAAAGCCCCCCAAAAATGGGAATTTCTGACAACACCAAACATGTTGGGCTGACATTTAGCATAGCGGTATAGATCAGGATCTTTAGGATGGCACATATCAGGTTAATATGTGTGTCACTTCAGGATGGCCGAGCGGTGAGGAGAGAGGGATCCGCCAGCTGTCAGATCCTGGCCGAGCAGGTAATTCTCTCCTCACCGCTAGGCCATCCTGGATGACAGCTCCCTCCATCCCGAGCCCCCACCCCTCCCCCGCCGGCTGCAGCGCTACATTTCTCCTCAGATCTCCCGCTGCCTCTGCCCACACAGGTGGAAGAGAGCAGCGGGGATTCGAGGAGAAGCTGCAGGCTGTGCCGCCCCTCTACTCCCTGCCGCCCCGAGGTCGAGCTGTGTTGGCTGCCTGGCGCCCTTGTTGCCATTGCGCCCTGTGCTCACACCTCACCTTTGCTACGGCCCTGCAGCTTACCAATCCTTAAATGTGATGGCTGCATTCGTTTTCTATTTGTTTCCTAGCACACTAGCTCACGGCTCCTGGGGGTTCTTTTTTCAGACTTTACTTCCAGTTTTAACAGTTACAGCAACAGTCTTTTTCCTTTTGGGATAAATGTTTACATAAATGTAAACATAGGTGTAAAATAGTTTGTCTTAACCATCTCTCACCACTTTTGCTGGACAGCTTGGTCTGGTAAAGGAAGCTGACAAATAACAGACTTACTGGTCAGATCACCAGGTAAAACTAAAGGAAAAAAAACTAAAAAAGAAAACGAATGAAGTCACCACATTTTAAGCTGCAATATATTACATTTTTGCTTTTGGGTTAAGATTGAATGATATGAGTATTTGTGCTTACATTTCTGGCTTCTCATCAAAGACAAACAAGTGTAAAGGCTTGCAATTCTAATTGTGCACATTGTATATTAGAATATTGTACTGTATATTAGACTATTGTATAGTAGAACACTACACCTATTATTTTACAAGGGTAAAGCAGTTTTGCAGAGCACGGCGTCTCAACCGTCCAAAAGCCATTGCCAAATGAGCTTGGCACATTTATCTAGGACTGAAAGCAAGTTGTGTGATACATGTGCTCAAAGCTGTGCTTTTTTTTTTCTTCTGCTGTACATTTGATATGTTTTTCTCATGTTTCAGGCACAGTGAATGTGGTTTATAGTGAAAGAAAAGCATCATGATATGATAGTCAGCTTTTCACTTCCACAAGTGACTACACAAAAGGACAAGTGCAGTGACTAATTTTTCATTACGGTTCTATGCAAATATGCTTGAGAACCTTTAAATATTGCATATAGGGAATTGTTTTTCTTAAATAACCCTTACACACAAACGGTATTTGTTCTACAAAAGCTTTAACCTTCGTATGTTGGCCCAAGGCCAGGCTGGTTTATTGATTGGTAAAAGTAAATTTCCAGAATCTCTTTAGCTGGAACATAAATAATAGTTGGATATTAGGTCATCATCTAACCACTGGACTTTGTTTTACTTAACAAATATATCTATCCCATCCCTTATTTATACCAATGGGCGTGGATCAGTAGGTTGATATGTCTTTAGATGGTTGCTTCCCATTGCCCTCTTTGGTCAAAGCAGATATTAAAGCAGAACTAAACCCAACAATTTGGGATTGGGTAAGAGAGGGTTGCAACCCCCTCAGCTTTTTTTTTTTTTGTGTCCTATTGGAAAGATTTCCCTTTACGCCGTGTCCAATAGCAGTAACAAGGAAGTGAGGGAAATTGCCACCAAAGGAGGGAAATCCCTTGTGGTCAACAGGGTCACCAGAACTAGTGTCCACATTGGAAGATTTCCCATCTATTCCTGTTCTGGTGACATCCCCAAATTATTGTAGTCAAACAGGCTACTTGCTACCTATCAATGAACGTTGTGTAGCAGTCTGAAACAACAGAGAAATTATTTGCACTTTTTACGTTCCATTCTTCCATCATGGAGTAATTAGATGTGGAAAAAATGGACATGCTGCCCCTTTTACTTGAATCTCGCCTTGAGGTGCCTCAAGGAGGGAACCCTGTGTGGCTCCGAAACGTTGGCATTTTCTATTGACCTCACTTGCAATAAATGCAACTTTCTTTGCATTCGGAGTGCTGGTAACCTACCTTCACATCTCTGGGATTAGAATACCTGTCAGGTATGTATTGCTGTCTGTGCCAACGTTAGGGAGATTCCTCCTCTCCATTTCTCCTGATGACCGTTATCATTGAAAGTGAAAGATATTATGCCATATCATGTCATATCTGATTGAGAAAACAGTATTATTATAATAGCCAGTTGTGGAATTGTCCCCGCCCTTCACTGCACATAAAATGCAGTTGTGGCTGTAAGAACTATTATACTGAACTGCCATGTGAAACTTCAGAGCCAACTAGGAATCTATGATACTTGCTAGGATTGCTGATAATGTATTCCAGGCATAATGAGCCTACCTGGATTTGTTCGTAGCTCACCCAATGTTCACCAAATCAATGTAATAATCTGACGGTTGTGTGTGTGTGGTTAGCAATCATAACGTACAGGTGACCTAATACAAAATGTATGTATCTTGTCTTTACAGGGAGGCTGTCCGGTGGACAAGACGCACAGGAATCAATGTAGGGCATGCCGTCTGAAAAAATGTTTAGAAGTCAACATGAATAAAGATGGTAATTAACATAAGAGCTCAATAAATGGCTTGTTCCCATTAATAGGACAGTGTGATCATTTCTGGCCTAAATATACAATCATCTATTGTCACTCATATTACAAAAAGAAAAAAGAATCCAATTATAAGATTTTCTTAGCAATCAGTGAGACAGTCACTGGTATTTTTTTTTAACATAAGCAAAATCAAAAGCATTATGCTTAAGAACAGAAGCCTACATTAAAATGATTGACATAGCTCTGGTAAAATATAGATTAATGTCGTTATTTAGAAAGGGAAAATCATAAGGAAGAAATGTTCTCTCAAGGACACAGTATGAGGGAAGATTTTCATGATTTTAACCTTTTAATGAAATGAAGTATCTAAGAGCCTGCTCTTTGCATCAATTTTTCAAATGAGTTTGATTAGTACTGAGATGATTACTGGATTGATTTCAGCTGTTCAACATGAAAGGGGACCAAGAACATCCACCATAAGGAAGCAAGTGGCTCTATATTTCAGAGGACATAAAGATGTCAATGGAACCACGCCTCACTTTCCCTCAGCAGCCTTGCCAACACCTACTTTCTTCACCACTGTTAGTCAGCTGGAGCCACATAACCTAGAGCTGGCGGCCGTGTCCACCACTACCGAGAGACAGACATTGATTGGCCTTGCACAGCCAACGCCAAAGGTAAGTCACACTCACATCTCAAAAAGTATTTCAATGCAGTAAGTAATTAGTCAGTGGATAACACCTTTATGCAGAAAACACTGGAGTGGTGCTAAAGTAGGACATTTCACCTAATATTTCTTAATCTGAGTTCTATGTAATACAATGCAAGCTTTTCCCTAATGCCTGTGCTTTGTAACTTTCTCTCTCTCTCTGCTTGATATAGTACTAGACGGATTTAGACTTCCAAGGCAGGTGAAAGAGATTTGTGGCTGAAAGAAGCCACAGTACGGACACTTGAGCTTTAGCAAAGAGCTTGTGGTATAGTGTAGAGCTATAGGTCAGGGGTTGGCAGCCTTGGCACTCCAGCTCTTCTAAAACTCCAAGTCCCATGAGGGATTGTAAGACTCTGACAGCCATAGGCATGACTCCCAGAGGCAGATGCATGGTGGGATTTGTAGTCTCCCCACAGCTGGAGTGCTGAGGTTGCCTACCCCTTCTATAGAGACATTACAAAAAGATAAGTAAAGGGGCTGTTATATCACCAGACTACTGACAAAGGCAATGGGATGGACAGGTGCAATACAGCAATGCTTGCATGAAAATCTGAAATATGGAGCAACAAGGTTGTGCTTCCTGCAGGCGTTTTAATGCTGAACTCATGGCAGGTATAAATGGCTCAGAATAATGCAGCTTTGTATTCATGAATACATCATAAGGCTACATGCACACAGCCATAAGAATTTTACTGATCATATACATAAGTTTTTTTTTCTGGCCAAAACGTTCAGGTGTAAATTATTAGTAAAATGCTTGCATTCAAATGCATACAATTCTCACTCAATTCCTCCTGCTATTAAACACAGACTTGTGTAAAATCAATGTTCTCAGACACAGATTTGTTAATTGTTTGTTACGGATCTGAATGCAGCACACGCTTACATACCTGTGTGCATGTACCCATTGAAAGCAATACACCTGCTCTCAGATTCGTTGTGTTTATTTACGGCCATGTGCATGTAGCCTTAACTTATTTTTTTTAAGCAAGAAGTACCTGGATTTGACTTGGTATAAGCCTCTTGCAGTCCCTGTACATATGAGCTCAGACTGGGGGATGGAGAAGCAGCACAAGAGTCAAATGGTGTGCTGCTGCAGTGGTGGAGTGTGCTAATAGGAGAGAGCAGAATGAGAGGGGTATGAGCACATCAGTCTGATGCTTCTCCTTTTACTGTCCAGTCACAGGCTGGGGGAGGGACAAGACTGCACCAAAATCAAGTCTCCTCCCCAGTCAGAGAGGACTGTGTTGTGTGACAGAGCAGCCCATATCTGGATGGACAGCAATACAATTTGTTTGGCAGGTATAGCAGATCTCAAATATGTATTTTATCTGTATATTTAGATGTTTGCCCAGAGTTCAGCATTAGGGCTTTGATGTTTATTTTAGTGTAAAGTTTACTTTTATTCTATAAATTCTAGAAATGTCTGACACTAGTTACCACGTCCAGACGGGAATGTAACAGATCTTTAAAAAACAGTAGCCCTTCACAGAGGCAAATATTTTTTTTATATGTATGATTAGAGCACTCAGAGATTCAGTTTAATGATTTTTAAATATTATATATCATTTTAATGAAAAGAAAAATGGTTCAAGAAAATATTACCGGAAAAGCTATTACAAAACAAACAATAAAACAACAGAATCAATAAAAGAGATTACAAGAGAAGAATGACTTAAGTTTGCTCGGTCTTTGGTTCTGTGCGGAGCCCTATTTACTTCGAGTCCAATCTGATGCATCAGAGTCACTGGGGTTGATTTACTAACCTTATAAACACACCACAAACATGTATACACCTCTGTAGTGTGTTCCCTCCCAGCATGATCTATGGGTGGAATCTAAACACCTTTATAGTGTGTACACACCCAGCAGGTGTGTTGTGCAAAGCCCTGCCCTGAATTGCAAGGTGATGTTGTGTAAATTAGCTCTACATTGTGTTGCTTGCGTTGATGAATGCAGGAATGTAAATGCATGAGCTAACCATTTTTGTCTAAACTGTGAAGCAGCATTATATATGCATCATGTGCATGATTTTTCCATATATGGCATTAGTGGAAATATGCTTATAGAGACTTTTTGGTTGATAAATACGCTTTGCTGTGTAAAAATCACACGCACCTGGTGCGTGCGTGTGTTTAGGTTAGTAAATCACCCCCACTGAATAAAAAAAATGACTCTTAGCATTTCTTAAAATGTTCGATAGTAAAAGAAAGCTGCAGTTGACAAATGCTGCAGAACGTTGTTGTCCATGGACTGGTGCATCAGATCTAATTACACCCAATCAAAGGGTCAAGGGGTGTGGTGGGAAGGTGTTGGAGATATGTTATTATGCTCAGCAGACACACCCTTAATGCCCTTTATTGTAAAAACATCTACATTTACATGTGATAAGGTCTCACAGTGTGACAACCAACATATTATTGACCAGGGTGAAATTATTATTCGTTAGAGACCAAATATGATATGGGTAAATCTTATTTAACGCCAGTTTCCTTATCTACAAAATGGCCCTGTTTCTTTGTAAATTTGTTCCAGCCAGTACTACACAATTTATAAGTGTCGTTATGAAGAACTATGTACATTTGTTCCATGTGCTAGTATTACAATTAGAGCATATGCGCTCCTTTTATGAATTCAGCACAGGACTTTCTACGATAGCTATAATGCCCAAAAAATATCACATATGGAATTTTTACCATATGTAAGCCCAATTCCCAAAATGTTGTGACGCTGTGGAAAAACAGAATGAAATCTCCTAAACCCATATTTTATTCCCAATAAAAAAATACAAAAACATATCAAATGTTTAAACTGAGAACCTGTACTATTTTAAGAAAAAAAATAAGGTAATCTTGAAATTGATGGCAGCAACACGTCTCAAAAAAGTTGGGACAGGGCAACAAAAAGATGGCAAAGTAAGTGGTACTAATAAGGAAGAGCTGGAAGAACATTTTGCAACTAATTAGGTTAATTGGTAACAGGTCAGTAATATGATTGGGTATAAAATGGGCATCTTAGAGTCAGAGTGTCTCAGAAATAAAGATGGGCAGAGGTTCACCAATCTGTGAAAAGCTGCGTCTAAAGATTGCTGAACAATTTCAGAATAATGTTCCTCAATGTAAAATTGCAAAGACTTTAAATATATCATCATCTACAGTACATAATATCATCAAAAGATTCCGCGCAAGGGACAAACCCAAAATGCAATATTGGATGCCCTCAGACAGCACTGCATTAAAAACAGACATGATTCTGTGATGAACATCACTGCATAGGATCAGAAATACTGACAAAAATCACTGAATGTGAACACAGTTCGCTGTGCAATCCAAAATTGCAAGTTAAAGCTCTACAATGCAAAGAAGAAGCCATATCTGGATATGATCCAGAAACACCTCCGTCTTCTCTGGGCCAAAGTTCATTTAAAATGGTCTGTTGCAAAGAGGAAAACTGCTTTGTGTCAGACGAATTGAAATTTGACATTCTTTTTGACAACCATGGGCACCTCATCCTCCAGACTAAAGAGGAGATAGACCTTCTGGCTTGTTATCAGCACTCAGTTCAAAAGACTGCATCTCTGATGGAGTGGGCATGCAATATTGTGTAGGGAATGGGCAGCTTGCACATTGGGAAAGGCATCATCAATGCTGAAAGATATATCCAGGTTTTAGAGCAGCATATGCTCCCATCCAGACAGCGTCTTTTTCAGGGAAGGCCTTGCATATTTCAGCAGGACAATGCTAAACCACATACTGCATCTATGACAACAGCATGGCTTCATAAGAGAAGAGTGTGGATGCTTAACTTGCCTGCCTGGAGTCCAGACCTTTCACCAATTGAAAATATTTGGTGCATCTCGAAACGAAAAATACGACAAAGAAGTTAACAGTTAGAATCCGATTTCAGGCAAGAATGGGAGAACATTCCTCTCCCAAAACTCCAGCAACTGGTCTCCTCAGTTCCCAGACGTTTACGAGTGTTGTTATAAGAGGAGATGCTACACCGTGGTAAACATGGCCCTGTCCCAACTTTTTTGCCATCAATTTCAAAATGACCTAATTTTTTTCCTACAATGGTACATTTTCTCAGATTAAACATCTAATATGTTTTCTATTTTCTAATGTGAATAAAATGTGGCTTTATGAGATTTGTAAATCATTGCATTCTGTTTTTGTGTAGATTTTACACAGTGTCCAAACTTTTTGGGAATTGGAGTTGTAGTTTAGTATCAAGGATGGAAGATTAATGTAGTGTTTGCCATATATATCAACATGTAACTGGAAAACCTAATTGTGTTCTAGTACCCACATGAAGTGAATGGAGCTCCATTGTACCTCTATGAAGTGGCCACTGAATCAGTCTGTGAATCTGCAGCCCGACTCCTATTTATGAGCATTAAATGGGCTAAGAGTGTGCCAGCTTTCTCTACTTTGTCTCTACAAGATCAAGTGAGTATAGAATAATAAAATGTCAGTATTTTCAAAATGTCTCATTTCTTATGGTTCTGTTCTACAATGCTTTTGTAAATGGTTTTAAAGGAAACTGGTCATGAGAAAAAATGCTAGTTGCCTGGGTGTCATACTGACCTTCTGACTGCAGTACTTTCTAACTCACAGGTGCTCAAACCAGACATTCTGACTTTTCTCTGACTTGAGTTTCTGCATGTTAGCTTTGGGTCAAAATTAAGAAACTATTGAAGATAAAGACAGCCAGGCAACTAACATTTTAAGATATCCCTTTCCCCCTACAGCTCTGTTGCTAAACACAAGTGTCCAGAGTCTAAAACGTTATGGCAGTTTGTAAATTGTGAGGTGGTGCTGTTCTCTCTGGGCCTGCTGCCCTGGTCACTGGTGTTGCCTGATATTAGTCATTACTACAGAAGCTTACAGTAAAATGTTCTTATCAGCCACACAAGAGCCCACTCACACCCTCGAGACAGTTTAGGCATAAGCCAGTTAACTCATTAGTATGATTTTGGCTTTGGAAGGGTAGGCAGTGCAAACACAGAGAAAAAAACCCCACAAAATCTATGGCTGGGACCACACTTCCTATATTTTTTATTTGATATATACAGTGTGATCATTTTACAATTTAGCAAGCTCTAGCTAAAGCTTTAGAAAGCAAAAAAAGATAAAGCTAAAAATACAGCTTTTCTGTGCATGCATTTGACAGCCTGCAGCACTATGTGTAACTTTTATTCATTTAATTAAAATATATTTAAAGTCAATTTTCATTAGGGTGTGGAATGGTTAAAACCCTTGACATATGTTTGTCATGTCTGTGGTCCCATCAGGGAGAATTACCTTCAGTTTCTGCTCAAGACATCTAGAAGTGAGAGGAGATCTCTCCCTATTAGAAGATTTCCTCTTTAATTCTTCTTTTATTTTAATAAATAGTATTTCCTTTTTGATCCATAATTAAAGAAAAAGTAATGATAATTAGCCTTAATAACCTCCTCTGTCCCTACCTCCTTACTATCTTGTCTTGATTTGTATTGTGATTGTAATGTCTTCCTTATATTGTAAAGCGCTGCGTAAACTGTTGGCGCTATATAAATCCTGTATAATAATAATACATCTCCTTTGCAGTTTTGTGCCACTTTTTGTTTACCATCAGCATATAAAAATGTTTTAGGGTTTTGATTGCTTGGCTTTTTTTAGTTCTGAGTTTAAAAAATCATTACATATTAATTTAATTTGTAAAAAAAACACCACCTTCTTTATATTAGCAACATACATTTACTGTTGTGATAAATGGGGCATGTAGCAGAATAAAATGCATGGAAAATAAAATAATTATTTGAAGATATTTTCACCATCACTTTGGCACTATAAGCAATGACAACGTTTTTCAATAGGCATATGCAGGTAATGCAAGAATTAGACCAGGTTCAAAAGATGTATAAAACTGCAGGTCCTGGAGTGGTTAAATAACTTTAATATGGGCTATGTCATACACTGCCATTGTGAAATAGGGACTAGTATGTAAAAAAGAGAATGACTGATAAGTGATACATTTTAAAAAAAAAGGGAAAGCATACTCTATTTTCAGTTTAAGTATCCCCACATAAAATGTGTAATAACACTGTTAGCTTGTTCACAATTAAAGAATTTTGGCTAAATTATCATTTCAAATGAATATAAGTGATCACTACTGCTTATTCTAACTGTTCAAAACAAAACAATCAAAGTCAATATAATAAAGTATGCCATTTATAAATATAAAATAAACCAACTTGCTTATTTAAACTTTAAAGTTATTTACTGATTTAAACTAAATAAATTCAATTTATAAATATAAAATAAACCAATTTACCTAGGAAGGTAGGAACTATATGAATTAAATTGATTTACTCATTTGAACATCAAAGATCAGATAAAATACACATCTTTATAGTTCAGGTATTCTTGTACAGTGAATCCTGTAATTTTTCAATTTTACACTTTAAAGCCCATTTAGTTTCAAGCAGTGCTCTTGCATACTGTATATAAACCATTCTAGTCTAAACAACAGAGTACACTACAAACCCCATTCATTCCTAAGTGTCATTGCCAATGTACAAATGAGAAAATATCCAGATATAAAGAGTTCTATAGAGCAGTCAAAGCAGCCGTGAAATTGGAGAGGGATGCATAGCTTATGTGCTTGTAACCTATCATTCATTTACTGTATGGCAGCTGATGCTCCTGGAAGATGCATGGAGAGAGCTATTTGTTCTGGGAATAGCACAATGGGCCATCCCGGTTGATGCAAGCACGCTACTGGCTGTATCTGGTAAGCACCGCTCAATTTAATGACTTTGTTGTAGAAATTAACATTAAAATACATTGCCAGGAATATGAACAACATGTGAAGAATAACAAATCCCATGTGAACAATAGCCCATACCTGTCATTTATAAATCTATATTTAAATGCAAATAGTGTTTTCTTGTTGTATTCATAACTGCCTGCATCATCATTGAAATGCTAATCACTGTGTTTGTTATCATCCAAAGGAGTACTTTATTATCATTTTCATAATATCGACACAGATCTAGTTTACACCACGATGACAGATCCATGTTAAGTGGCTATGATTTGCTTGGATTACAAATGAAAGGTGTGAAAACTATACTACTAATATCTATGTTATATTTGAATCTTAGGAATGAACAATGATAACACTGACTCGCAGAAGCTAAATAAAATTATTACTGAGATCCAAGCTTTACAGGAAGTCGTGGCAAGATTTCGCCAGTTACGGTTGGATGCAACCGAGTTTGCTTGCCTCAAATGCATTGTCACTTTTAAAGCTGGTAAGTAATAGTTGGTTTGAATTTAGAAAATCTGTTTTTTTGTGGTTTTTTTTTTAATCTGCAGTTAAACAGTTTTATAGAGAAGACTCAATAATGTTTGCTCTTTCTAAATAGTTGCTTCATTTTTAACACATCCTCTGGGCTTACCTTACTTTCTAAGATTGCCATGGGTCCATAAAGCAGGTACCTCCAAGGCATCCCCAAAACTCTGGAGTTCTATTATGTGAATATTGATCACTGCTTCCATCCTTGATCTTTACCTACTTCCTTCTGACCTGAAAAGGTTTGCTGGCCAATAGGAAGACATGGGGGAGTTGGAGCAGGGATAAACCACACACAAACTGTACTAAGCTTTCCATAACAGAGCTGAGCTATGGTGATGCCTGGGTGCTCTTAGTTTAAAAAGAGGATGTCTACAAGACCCAGGAGAACCTTAGAAGGTAACATAAATATGTTGTACATGCTTTATTATAAGAACTGCCTTGACAGTGATATTTGCAGTTAGCATTTATTAGAGCCCCTAATTTAGCTTGAATACATTTTCTCACAAAGTATTTCTAAAAACAAAACCTTTGTTTTTATTTGGGATAAAGCAGGGATTGATTAAAACGCCTGCAATGTTTTACTTTTTTAAAGTTTGCCATCTATGTCCCTTCACTTCCTGCCCTATGCTCACTTCATATGAAGAGGAAATCTCTTCAAAAAAAGGTAAATCTCCTCTTAGACAGTTGTCACTGGAACAAGTGTACCCACTGGTACCCATTCATGTTCTGCTGGTAACTAAAAATTTTAGATTTTCCCTCTCTTTCAGTTGCAGCGATAATGGTCACTAGGACAAATGTAGAGTGACTCTCTCCAGTGGGGAACAGTTGGCAATAAAAAAAAATTACAGGGGCTCTAACCCTCCCCAACTCTATCCAAAACTTAAAAAAAGTTTGCCTTTGGATATGTTTTATGCAAACCTGTATTTGATTTGAAACTTTTACAAGTAAATGTTCTTCCCAGGAACTGATACCTCAAGATGCTAACTTTTACCATTGTTAGCTAGAAAAGCATTGTCTGTGCTACTCTCTGATTTAGTCTCACATTGTTACTGGGGCTCTGATTTCATGACTGGAAACTGCCATTTCCCTGTCCAGCAAGAATCAGTGACCAGTAAGTGCACTCTCATGGGCCAGTGGAATGACAGTTACTTGAACTTTGTCAAAAAGATCAGACCTCAGACATGTAAGAGGCAATGAGGGAGGAGGCAAGCTTCAACACAAAGTGCAGGAGCTTTGAGGCTCGTTCAGAATGGCATAGCAGCGGATGTTGAACATGATTGGGTGATGGAAGTCGGCAAAACATATCCTCAATAACTAAACTAAGGCCAAACTTCCCCTGCTAAGTGCAAATTCCATTGCAAATTGAACCGCCTAGTTGTCTTTAGTAACACAACCCCTATGACTAGAATAATATTACCAGTTTCCACCAGACTCCGATCTTTGCTCCTTTGCAAGCTAGAAGTACTGTTAGAATTTTTAGCATCTGACACTTCTGTGAGTGTCAGATGCCTGTGTCTTCCCCACTCCGAGCCATGGTTCCACCTGACGGCTGCTATGCCTCTAATGTGTCCCTGCTACTTACATTTGTTGTATGTAAAAATGTATGGAAGTGCTGAGACACAAAAAATTGTCATGTCATGTAAAATAGTGTTGCTAAAAACCAGTGTTAAAAAATTACAGTTCTCAATCACATTTTCCACATCAATTTACTACCTCTCATACTATAATATATGAGTACTTCTCTTGGGCTGCAGCAGGTCATGCAAGTTCTCATTATCTACCACAGCTCATAATTGCAAGTATAAGGAACGCTATGATAGCACACTGCTGCTGATTCATGAAAACTGCATTTAGAATATTACTAAGCAAATGAACCCAGAGATAATCCAACAACATACGACTCTAAGGAGGATTGTCATTCGTGCTCTTAATGTGCTTATTCTTTTGTTGTATTATAGCACTCATAATGCAATCAATGCTTTTACTGTGAATTCCGTTAATAAATGTTTCTCTTCTGCAGTACCGACACATAGTGGCTCCGAACTGAGGAGTTTGAGAAATGCTGCAGCCATAGCAGCCCTACAAGATGAGGCTCAGCTAACTCTCAACAGCTACATACATACAAGGTGAATATATTACTTGCATTTACCTAACGGAAACTAGTCTTTTATTGGTTATGCTTAATAGTGTTACATCTTTTGTACAAGTATCTGCCTTGGTCTCTGCAACAACAGGTCTTCTAGACAGTAGCAGAAATATTATCTACCACATTTATATTCTACTTTCTCGGGTCCAGCAATGTGCTGTGTGTGCTAATGATTCACATAGGAAAAAGTAATAATGACCGGTCCAAACATATAGCAGAACTTAATATAAGTTCCTGGAAATAAATAAAATATATATATTTTTCATTCCAAAAGAAAGAAAAATAAATGACAAAAAGCTACAAACTACATGTAACAAAATATTATATAAAATCTAAGAAGCAGCATACACTAAAGAAAGCAGCATACATTAAATTGAGAACCAAGACTAAATAGCTTGTTAATTAAAAGTAGTAATTAGTCATAAAAAAAGAGTTTGCAAAGGATTCTTGCGGTAGATTTGACTATTCAATACTTTCAATCAACTAGTTTTCATTGTGGGCCTTTTCCTGACAGTTTTTATCCCTACACCTGTTCAATGACTGCAGAGGTTTCTAATGGTCGGTGTGCAGCAAACTTACCCCAGTAAAAGTGTGCATCTGGCCTTTTTTTCCCTCTTTCAAGGGCCATCACACATTGGGAACCACCTTCCCACTGTCCCATCTGTGTCCAATGCGCAAGAGGATTTTCTCATCAGCTGACAATTATCAAACAATAGCTTGGCACACCATCAAAGTGCTCCCTGGCTTGACTTTTTTCAGGAAATTTTCACTCTGTCCACTTGAAAAGCCACTAATTAGTAACTTGCAATCTTCTTTTTACTAATGTTAAATTAAAGCCACTTGATGACCAGGTTGTTTACACCCCTTCCTGGCCAGGTCATTTTTCAGTATTCAGCACTGCGGTACTTTGACTGACATTTATTCAGTCATACAGCGCTGTACTGAAATTAATTTTACATCATTTTTTGGGGACACATAGAGCTTTCTTTCGTGGTGAGTATTTACTCACCACTGGGGTTTTTATTTTTTACATTATAATGAAAAAAGGACCGAAAATTCTGAAAAAAAACATTATAAAACATTTATATTTACCCAAATTTTTTGTAAAATCTAAAAGACGGGGTCACATCGGGTAAATAGACACCAAACAAGTCAAATTTAAAAATGCGCATGCCCGCAAAAATCCAAAAAACGATCATACCCAAAATTGGCTATAGACAATGCTTTAAAAGCATTTAACGCTCATCAGTTTAGTGTGAACAGTGATTAATGGCCCTAAAATTATTGCTTGCACTCTGACGTTTGCGATGATATGTGGGGGTTTGCGATGACGTTTGCAATGGGCATTTTTGCACATAGGTGCACCCAACACATGTTGGTGCATGTATGTGGGGCGGGGAACTTTAAAAAAAAAATGTATATTTAACTTTAAAAAACAACAACTTTTAACTCTAAATTATTTAACGTTTTTTTTCACTCAACTTTATTGCTTAATTGCTTAACTTGATAGCCAATTTACAGTGACAGGTCCTCTTTATGGAGACATCAGGGGTCTCTAAGACCCCTAATGTCACCTAGGGACCCCCAGAGAAGCTGATGAAGCACATCACATCAGCTACAGAAGCCAGGAATGACAGCTGAATGCGGAAGTGATGTAATATACATCACTCCTGCATTCAGAGACCGGAGAGGAGCTCAGAGTGAGATTGTGTACTGGTCTCCCACTGATCTCCCTCTGATCTCCGGTCACAGAGCCACCATGCCGCACCGGACACAGTGGAGCTACCACCGGCGGCGGTGGTGGAGGGGGCGCACCGATCGGCACCCCATACAAGCGATTGGGCGGCTCCATAGCCACTGGACTGCTTGTGTGTAAACAGCCAACGCCGGCGTTTCAAAAGCGCCTCCCTGCCGGCCGTTTATATACAACGGCCAGAAGGGAAGGTTCATCTTCTCACAAACTCCAACGGTTTTGGTCAACAGGAAACCATAACAAAACCCTCTGTGATACTGTATCACTGATACAACAGGTTATTTAAAAGATTGAAAAGAACTAGGCTTCTTATAGATCCTTGTATTAAACAATTTTAATACATTTAAATAGTCTATTCACATGTATCTTTTGACAATTATTCATTTAAAGCTAAAGTTTAATCTGGTTAGATTTCACTTTTCTTGGTTCTTCCCTCCCCTCTTCATCAATATGCTAATGACATTATGAAATAAAACCTTTCCATTTTTATTTTATGCAATGCAGGCAGATCATGACTGGTGGAAGGGCCGGCAGAGTGCTGTACAAAGCATCCTTAAAACAGCATATCTTCCTGTCACTGTACTCCTCTAAAGAGACCTCAGCCTTGATGTAAGCAGTGGGCTGGCTCTTGGGAGGGGTTACGCAAGTATCAAAATGCCTTGATGGACTGGTGTCAGTCTGGAGGAGTGCGCATTCCTAGGCAGGCTACATTCACATGCAAACGTCACTAGGTTACCCCCACATGTGAAGCTGTGCCTCTATAAATAACTAGGACATTGATTAGGAGTGGGAGCAAGATAGAAGGACCAAAGACAAGGTAAATCTGAAGAAAACCTGTTTTAGCCTGCAAGAGACATGTAAATGGAGCATAGGTTCGCCTTCCTGCAGAACAATGAGCCTAAATGCACCAAACCTACATTGGCGTGGTTTAAAACCAAAAATGTTAATGTCTCAGAAAAACCAGTTCAAAGCCCAGACCGCAATTTAATTAAGGATCTTTGGCAAGAGTTGCAAATTAGTGTGGTGCCTATCCAACCCAACAGAGATAGATCATTTTTTTCAAGAACAATGGCAAAAATGTTAGAAAGATATATGCAAAGTTGGTAGAGACTTATTACAGAAGACTTGCACTATGGCATTGAACTGTCAAATGCCAGAGTCTAAATAACCCTCTTAGTTTGTATCTTTATTTGACTGTAAACATTCCAAAACTACAGTATGTATGTTTTTGAATTTGTTTTGAGGCTTTGCATTTCTAAAGTCATAGTTTTAATAGCTCTCTGAAATACCAACCCAAATGCTACCTTATTATAGTCATGACTGCCAAAATGTTTTGGGACTACACATTTCTCAGCTACATATTTACCTACCTAGGGGTAACTTCTCCCCATAAGTGTGTCATTGGTGACACTGTGTACTTTCTCATTCCCATCCTACCACAATTTTCTATCCTATCTGCAATATGCTTTCACTTGTCAACACTTGCTTTCCATGTGCCCTTGCGTTGAGCCTGCATTGGTCAATACTGATCAATGCAGCTCAAGGCACTTGGTGTGCAGGAGACTGTAGGTTCAAGATTGAGACTTCAGCCTAAAGCAAGAAAAAGTGCAACATGCACTGCAACAAAGAAAGCCGTTAAATACTAACATTATCATCGATAACCATTGATTGATTTATTGATGAATATCTTAAAACCTCAAAAAAGGGAAATATTTATAAGTCTATTTTTTTCACAGGTATCCAACCCAGCCCTGTCGTTTTGGAAAACTCCTACTGCTTCTACCTGCATTACGGTCTATCAGCCCATCAACAATAGAAGAAGTATTTTTCAAGAAAACAATAGGCAATGTACCCATCACAAGACTGCTCTCAGATATGTACAAATCCAGCGATATCTAAAGTTAAACAAAAAGAAACTTCTCTCAAGCTTTAGACTTTTGCATAATACTTTAACCACAAATGCATTCAAGAGTGGTGAGACTTGAGAAGACAAATATTAAGGGGATTTTCTTTTATTAAAACAGCCATCATATTGATGTGCATATTATTAAACTACAATTTGCCACATGGAACACTCAAAGCCATTTTGGCCCTACAAGCTCAACAGAAAAGGATGAAAGTTATCTTCAAGATTTCCGATAATAACTCAGTGGCAATGTACATAAAATCAACTCCTGAATTTCAAACAAATGTTTCTATCTTTTCTCTGTACTATAAAATATTTCACATTTTTCCATGGCTGTAGTTGCAGAGATAGAAAATAAATCATCCATATTGAACAGTATGTGTTAAAAATTGTTGGGACTATGGAGACTTTGGACCAGATTGCATAAAGACAGGATGTGTCTCTAGCTCCACCTGTGACCATGGACATCGACAAACCACGCGGTTATGTGCATTTCCAATGTTACAATTGGACTGAAGCATGGATTTCCACTTTGCAGCACATCATAATATACTTGATTGCCACAAGATTACATGAATCGGTTAGGTACTGCAAACATGGTGCCACATCTGTGATGTGTTTACTACAATAGGGAGATTAGCTTTTACCACTGTAGTAGTTCAGTGGTTAGACGATCTTGTCAAATCACATTTACTCTGGCTGCAGGTATTACAAGTCACTTTGGTTATGACCAACTGGATTTTGAAATCACTTCTTTCAAAACTATCAACATTTGCTTATATATATTCTTCCCACTGTCTGGTACCAAGTTTTATGAAGCCAGGACATTCTGAACAACTGAGCTCTCCAGGATGCAATATTTCAATTATTTTACATGATACCGTGCAATCAAAAATTGAATGAAGCCATTTTGGAGATCTAAAAGATTATGCATGTGAATTTGGTTTCACCAATCAGCTAAAAGACAGTTAATGGTTACATTTTATTTAGGATTCTGGTCTTGATTCTATTATGCTTTCTGGCAGCAGATTAACTTAAAACCCCAATTGAAGTCACCTAAATATAATTTTCAGCCTGATACACACAGTACTAATGACATTCTCCATTTCCATAGGCCTGCATCCATTTCCCTGGTATAGCAGTCATGAATAGTGTTTAAATATGGCTGCAAAGTCCAAGTCCAAGTTCGACTATGCTGTCCAGCACTACAAATGTGCATAAGTACACTTGTGATGAAGGCTGTGTCCATTACTCTAAGCCAAGTAGTAGAATGTATCACCAGCACACCATGATCAAATCTTGAAGAAGTGATCGTTTTACTGATGCAAACACATATTGTCACATTGCGATTACTCTATGCGAGCACAAAGCACTGGAGTGGAAGGGCAGAAAGCACATTTCTGATTTCTTCAATTAGGCATTAGGGTTATCAAAACAGCTTTCAAGGTTTGTAGCATCATCCTAGGTCTCTAAACATTTTTTTGAAGGAATGCAGGAAAGCCAGAATGTGGGGAATTGAATATTTAAACCAATAGACAAATGTGTCCCAGATTATTGGACATGAAACATTACATAATGAACAGAGCATATTACAGAGCAGTAAATATCACTGGCAGAATGTGAAAATACCAAACTCCATGCAAACAGCTCAATACATGGTTAAATACATACATTTGAGCAGTTCAATATGCCAAAATATTTGAAATTCTATCCAGCCATTCTTGTGATTTGAACATTCCTGCTACACTGCAGAAAAAGTTACACAACTATTTTCTGTTACAGATCCGTAGTTACCATTGTTATCTGCTTGATCACTGGGAAATAAAGGAGCATGATGATCACATTGCTACGTGAAGAATCTCAAACTCTCATTATGATTTTTGCTATGCAGTGTGAATTGTGGGTAGTTATTATATTTCAGACAGTTACACTAGGAGAATTCTAAAATAATTTAAGGAATATGTAACATCCTACATTTTTTGTTATATTTGCCTGGAATTTCACTAACTGAATTTATTCACATGCAAATAAAATGTCATTGGTCTGTAGAACAAACATGCACCAATTACTGACGTACCCTAAGAGTAGGGAAGCTCTACATTTAGCACAGTTTAATAGCAGTTTTATGTTCAACGTTTTCGGTGTATGATTAGGTTCTAGCACTAAGGAAATCAGCACTTCAACTATTATAGACAAGTAAAAATGTTCCTTGTACAGTGTCATTTAATTGTGAATCAAAAGTTGTTCTCATTTCTTTACAGAGAATAAAATATATTGAACTTGAGTTCTTTTTATAATTTTTCTTTTCTGTGCATATTTCTATAACTTATAATAGACAATCTTAAAGTGAAGTGTGGCCAAACGATGCACGCAAATGTATTTGAATATTCTGAACAAACAGTAAAAGTGCTTTAATGAAGCCCCTATTCTTCTTTGCAGCTGTAAGCATTGTGGAGAAATTCATCTTCAAAGTTCATAACAGAAGCAGTGAAATTTTTTTAACTATCACTTTCTTTAGCTACAGAATCTTGGCAGGCTACCAACCTTCTAATGTAAACAGGTCTTAGGCCTCATTTGTGGGCTTTTAGTGCCCACATGCAGCGGAAATCAGTGGATTCTTGCAGCTGGAATGACAGGTGGTTCCAGGCAGCTGTGGCTGCTCAGCCTGTGCAAAGCAATGACAGAGCTCTTCCCCACTGTTTGCATGTGTCCGCACTGTTGCAAACTTTAAGAATGATTTGCATCAAAGTGCATGCAGCTAAACAGGTCAAGGGTGGCTTGTTTTACAGCTATTTTGTTTGTTAAGAATATGGTAATACTTTGATACCCATAGTTTGGGCTCAGGTGCACTTTAAAGTGAAGCTATGATTTGTCCGACACCAGCTGCTTATGCTTACCTTCCTTACACCACCAGCCACTCCATATGGTCATTGGGAATGAAGAAAACATGTGGTTTGGGTAAGGGGATCATGTTGCTTACAAGAAATAGGGGGACAGCCATTGTTGACCTCTTGAAAATGCTAGTGGCCTGGCTGTTAGGCTGACCCACTTGCTTCAGTGCTGGCTGTTCCTTTGTTCTGGATAAAGTATGCAGATCCGAGAAAAGAAAGAGATAGTTTTTACTATACTTTACTGACTCAAAGTATTGAAGTAAAGAGGGTTAGCACTGGAATTCCAAAAGGTAGGATTTGCAATGGCAGCCTCCAAACAAAGCTTTTTACGGTTACCATTCTACTTATATTTCACAAAGAAAAGCAGCAGTAAAATATCTCCAATTTATCCTGCATTAGAAATGCTAAGGTAAGAGCTATTATATTAAATTACATGAGAATACTCTGAACCAATCCTAAATCTTCAGCACGTGTAAAAATGTTTTAGGCTCTATTCACAACTATGCACATTTTTTTTTGTGTGTGTTGATCCAGCGCATCGATTCACTTTAAAGGGCTCTTAAACAGACCCTGTTGTAAGATCATTCATTGTAACAAAAAAATCCTATAAGATTATACTGTATGTGCATTTAAGATATTTATGCATGTTATTTACCTGAAAAAAATAAGACTTTTGTACTCACCGTAAAATCCTTTTCTCTGCACAGGGGAGAGCTTGTATCTCTGAACATAGGATTATAGCACCGCCTTCAGGAGTAGGGCACAAGGCAAAAAAAATGGGGCCTGCCCCTAGGCTGTTCTTTTGTTTTTTGCCTAGTGACCTATTCCTAATGTTGGCGCTAAGGGCCAGTTCACACCATCCAATGTGCCATGAACGCACTGGATCACATAAACAAAGGCTCCCTGCGTTCTGGGAGTGGGAGGGGTGGTGCCATTAATTTAAATGACACCGCAGACATGCCTCCCATCCCCAGTGCAATCGTAGTGCATGTTGTAACTGTGCCGTGAACGCATTGGATGGTGTTCTCAGGCCCTTAAACCCTATGCTCAAAGATTCAAGATCTCCGCTGTGTCGTTCAAGAGAAAACCATTTTGTAGACATCTAAATATCCTGAGAATGCTGTTGGGGCCCCACTATCTTGGAAGTGATATCAGAAGCCCCAGCAGAATAAAGTGACACTGTGGGGTTGATTTACTAACCTAAACACACACACACACACCAGGTGTGTGTGATTTTCACACAGCAAAATGTATTTATCAACCAAAAAGTCTCTAAAAGCATATTTCCACTAATGCCATATATGGAAAAATCATGCACATGATGCATATATAATGCTGCTTCACAGTTTAGACAAAAATGGTTAGCTCATGCATTTACATTCCTGCATTCATCAACGCAAGTAACATAACATAGAGCTAATTTACACCACATTACCTTGCAATTCATTGCAGGGCTTTGAACAACACACCTGCTGGGTGTGTACACACTACAAAGGTGTTTCGATTCCTCCCATAGATCATGCTGGGAGGGAACACACTACAGAGGTGTATACACGTTCGTGGTGTGTTTAAAAGGTTAGTAAATCAACCCCTGTGTATCATACCACTTCGCTCCTCCTTTAAGCAGCTGGGTCAAGCATAGACTATGACATTGCAGGGGGCTGTGCTAGGAAACCGACCCTTCAGGGAGTAGTCAAAATTTCTAGCATGTTCAAAGGCACATCACAAGTGAATAAAAATAATGAATGGGAGAAATAAAGATTTAAAGTAAGCATTTTAAATATTTGACTTTTCTTTGCTTTCACCTGACATTTTTCAAGTAGGTCACAGGGTCTCTTTAACAAGCCTCAACACATGGGGGGGGGGAATACACCTGCACTAGGCATTGGACATCACAGAGCACAACAACTGTACATTCACACTTATGTATTAAGGGTAGGGTGTTTTTCTTTGCACTGCATTTGTGCGTTGGAATGCAATTCAGAATGAATGGTAACTGCTTGTTGTGGTTGCACACGGATTAATGCATAATTCAGAATGAATGGTAACTGCTCGTTGCGGTTGCACATAATTCAGAATGAATGGCAAGTGCTCAGGAGAAA